CCTTTGCCTGACATACTATTGCGCCTTATGGTTTAAGACATCTGCTACACCTGCTTGTGCTATCAAACGTGGTGGTGCGTCTATAAGGCTGCACGGGCTGCATTGCGAAACCTCGAATAGTGTTGGAGATTGCACCGTCCAACTTGCTGCTCGAAGCCATTTCAAATTCGTGCTGATAGGTCCTGTGGCTTGACCTAGCCATATCTTTGTCTTGGTGATCCGAAGGTGTGCACTTGCTAAGTGAATGGCGGCGCTCAACTCTTTTGGGGTAAGCGCACGCTGATGTAGAATCCCCTGTTTGCGCGGGGACGTTGCGTTCCACCATTACAAAGCATACCTTTCAATACCTGCTGCTGCAAGGTGGGGTGGGTCTTTTCCGTTGTTGTGACTGAAGCCCACAAACCAACGATCCGACTGAGCCCGCTTCTGGTACCCAGGCGATGCCTTGGCCTGTAAGGTTCCAAGCACGCGGATCCCACTCGGAGTGAAGACCGCCGTAGCTGCTCCGCAATGTAGTGTAGAACGGACTCCTGTCAAGGAGAAGCGGCCCTTCATCTGCGCGACCTTGGTTCCTTTCATGCGGCGGAGTCGGTTTGCATTAGCCGTCAACGTAATCAGCCTTCGTTTGCGGACAAACCTTGCTTGACTTGTCTTTAACTCCTCCCTTTCGCACCCCGAGGCCAGTCGGAAAGGGCGGCACAGGTGTTCCGCCTGAGACTGTCTCACCACTGACGACCCAGAGCCTTAGAATGGGCAAAAGCTTCGCAGATGGAAGGCGGGTTGTGTTTAAACTGTGGCGCTCCCCTATGCATCGCGCACATCCGTCCTAAAAAAAACAATAGATTCACGGATGGAGGGCGGGTCGTTTTCAAAAGGTTGTTATCGCATTAGCGCCGCGCATACTCGTCTTAAAAAGTTGTAATGGGCTTCACTGGTTGAAGGCGGCTCACGTTCAAAATGTGGTTCTCGCATTAGCGCCGCGCACATTCGTATTGAAGATGCAACGTTTCCACCAGTTCCCATGCTATACGTACCAGGAACGATATGTTGCAAGGGTGCACCTCTCTTCTTTTGTTTTGCAAGGGTTCACCACTGTCAGGGCGCAACCGTTATGTTGATCCGCGGTGTTGAAGTCCCAAGAACGGCGTTCTGGCACGACTCAGGACTGTCAGTGCGTCACAGTCAGGTTGACATGTGGCGTCGAAATTCCGAGATCGGCGCTTTGGCGCAATTCAGGGTATTCAGACGGTTGTCTCCAAACGGCGCTTCCCGCAGTGAAAATCAATAATTGTGGGGGGAGCTCGGGGGAGGGCGTGTCCCATCATCATTGGCAAGTCTTGGGTTCACACTGGTCCTCATCCTGCTCCTCCCCCTCCCCTTCTCTTCCTCTATGTTATTTCTCCTCCTCCTCCTCCTCGTTCTCGTTATCCTCCTCCTCCTCCTCCTCCTCCTCCTCCTCCTCCTCCTCCTCCTCCTCCTGCTCCTCATCCTCGTCCTCCTCCACCCCTTTTCATTATGACTAACTCCTCCCTGTCGCACTCCGAGGCCAGTCGGAAAAGCAGATGGAGCGCGTCGCATCACCATCAGCGCCAGCATCATCAACATCACCATCATCAGCGCCACCGGTATCATTATCATCACCATCAGAATCATCAGCATCAGCAGCATCATCAGCATTATGATCAGCATCATCATAGTCGTCATTGTAAGCATCATCAGCATCATCATCAGCAGCATCAATATCATCAGCAGCAGCACCATCAGCACCATCAGCATCATCATCACCATCATCATCAGCATCAGAATCGTCGTCATCGGTATCATCATCCGCAGCAGCAGCAGCAGCAGCAGCATCATCGGCATCATCGTCGTGCTCCTCCCCCTGCTGCTGCTGACATCGCTGCCGATGCTGCCGTTGCTGCTGCTGCGATGCCCTGTCGCGGCAGCGCCTGCCAAGCTCGCGTACAGGGTCTCGCAGACCGTGCGGCTGGGGGCGAAGAAGAGGGGCGTCTGGCCTGGCAGGACGGTGGCGCGGGGGGCTCCCCAGGAAGAGAGAGGAGGGCGAGAGAGGGGGCGAGAGACGGTGCGACGAGAGGTGAGAGCAGAGAAGGCAGGCGAAGAACAGGGAGGATGGGACGCGGGAGGGCAGTGGGGATGGGGAAGGCGACGGGGAAAGGGGCGATGAGGGATGCTGAGTGGGAGGAGAAGGGGGGGGGAATGGGGCGGACGGGGCTCTGCATGACTTGGCCCCTCTGGACCCATCTTGAACACGTCATGCGTTGTTGGGTGAGTCTGCGCCTGCCTGGGGGTCCTCTTGCGGCGCTCTTGTGGCCCCTTGAGGCCCAATTGAGACCGTCGCGAACCTATATCGGAGCCTCTTCGACTCTCTTGGAGCCGTCCCGAGGCGGGGTCTCTGGAGGCCTCCTCGATGCATCGGCGATGCATCGGCGATGCATCGGCGATGCATCGGCGACGTCGACGTGAAGCAAATCGGATTCCACATCGAGCCGCATCGCCGATGCATCGGCGCTGCGGCGCGATCCTCCGACCCCATCTACTCCGACCCCATCTAGTAGGCCTAGAGAGGAGGAGGGAGGAGAGAGGAGGGAGGAGGAGGGAGGAGGGAGGGGGGAGGAGGGAGGAGGGAGGAGGGAGGAGGGAGGAGGAGGGAGGAGGAGGGAGGAGGAGGGAGGAGGAGGAGGAGGAGGAGGAGGAGGAGGAGGAGGAGGAGGGAGGGCAGGAGGAGGAGGAGGACGTTGGCCCGCGCCCTGGCGCCCCCCGAGGACGGGCCGTGGCAGTCGCACGCGTTGACGTTGGCGCCCGCCTTCACCAGCATCCTGCATATGTCGGCCTGCGGGCTGTGCGGATGAGCAGCCCGCGTTGGGTCAACGCTTCCATGCCCTCTTGCATGCACCCCGTCAAGAGCCAAAGTGGCTCAGAAGTCCAGCAAGGAACAAAACGAGAACGATGGCCCGATACTGCAAAGAACTGAAAAAGTGTCGACGCGCGTTGACCATCTGGCTCAATTGTCTTAACAGCAGCTGGCAGCGAGCACCAGTACCAAAGGCAGCAGCGGCGGCACCTTCTGCAGCAGGGACCGCAGCGACACCATCACTGCGAGAGGATGACGACGAGGACGACGAGGAGAAACAGCATGAGCAGGAACACAAGCAGGGGAGAGAGCGGAAGAAGGGGAGGAAAGAAAGGAGGGAGAGGCCGACGAAAGCCCGTGTTGGGCCAGCAGCTGGGGAGCGGGTCGCCCGCTCCGCTCCGTCCTTGCTCCCGGCCCCTCCTCCATGTGCATGCGTGTGTACTCCTCGGGGTTCCCCCTATGGATGGGCAAGTCAGGCCGACCAGAGGGAACAGAGGAGCAGAGGAGCTGCCGCAGCAGGATGCGCGGGAGAGGGCGCCGCACAAGGCAGCGGGCGGAGGGAGAGGGCGGGCAGGGCAAGGAAGAGGATGAGGAAGAGAGCGCGAGGAGGCACCCTGCGCCCAACTCGCAGGAGGATCATTCGGCGAACGCCGTCTCTCCTCAGATTCAGAATGCCTACCCCCATCCCTACTCCCGCCTCCTCCACGCCACCACCTCCCGACATCCTTGCGTCTCCTCCCTCCTCCTCTCCTCCTCCTCCTCCTCCTCCCTCCTCCTCCTCCTCCTCCTCCTCCTCCTCCTCCTCCTCCCTCCTCCTCCTCCTCCTCCTTCCTCTCCTCCTCCTCCTCCTCCTCCTCCTCCTCCTCCTCCTCCTCCTCCTCCTCCTCCTCTCCTCCTCCTCCTCCTCCTCTCCTCCTCCTCCTCCTCCTCCTCCTCCTCCTCCTCCTCCTCCTCCTCCCTCCTCCTCCTCCTCCTCCTCCTCCTCCTCCCTGCTCTCTCCTCCCTGCCCCCTCCTCCCCTGTGCCCTCCTCCCCTCCTCCTCCTGCTCCCTCCTCTCCTCCTCCTCCTCCTTTCTCCTCCCTCCTCCCTCCTCCCTCCTCCCTCCTCCCCTCCCTCCTCAACCTCCTCCTCCTCCTCCTCCTCCTCCTCCTCCTCCTCCTCCTCCTCCTCCTCCTCCTCTCCTCCTCCTCCTCCTCCTCCTCCTCCTCCTCCTCCTTTTCCTCCTCCTCCTCCTCCTCCTCATCCTCCTCCTCGTGTTCCTGCTCTTCCTCCTCCTCCTCCTCCTCCTCCTCCTCATCCTCCTCATCCTCCTCTTCTTCCTCCTCTTCCATCCTCCCGCTTCCCTACTCTCATGCATCCTCCTCTCCTCCCTCCTCCGCCCATGTTTTCTCATGAGCAACTTCCTGTCGCACACCCTGATGTATCCGTAAGGCGAGCCAGGCGCTTCGCCCGAGACTCTCCCGCCATCTATAACCCTGAAGCTTGAAATTAGCAGCAGATTGACTGATAGAGGGAGGGTCCTTTCCAAAATGTTGCTCTCGCCTTAGCGCGGCGCACGCTCGTCTTAAACGTGTGCAACTGCTTTACGCATGGAAGGCGGGTCGTTATCAAAATGCGCCTCTCGCCATAGCACCGCGCACACTCGTCTTCACAGATCGCAACAGCTTCATACACGGACAGCGGGGCCTGTTCAAACTGTGGCTCTCGGAACAGCGCCGGGCACATTGGTCTCAAAGTGTGCAACCGTTGTGCGCATGGAGGGCGGGTGGTTTTCAGCAAGTGACTCTCGCATTAGCGCCGAGCACCTTCGTCTTGAAAGTGTGTAACAGCTTCACGGATGGAGGGCGGGGCCGTTTCAAAATGGTGCTCTCGCCTCCGCGTCGAACACATTCGTTCTAAAAGTTTGCAGGATTCGCAGGAGCTTCACGCAAGAGGGCAGCTACTTGTCAAAATGTGGCTCTCGCGTCAGCGCCGCGCACATCCGTCTTAAAAGTTTGCAGCAGCTTCGAAGATTCGCATGGTCGAAGTCCCAGGAATGGGTTCCTGGCACGAACGAGGATTCCCAGGACTCACAATCACCGTGCTGTCATCCCAGCAACAGTGATCTGGCTAGGATTGTCAGGACGCA